ATGTTCAACATGCATACTTATGTATAAACGTAGCTTATTTAAAGGCCGACCTGGAAGAGGTAGTGCCCACACTTTACCCCACCACATGCTACCTGCAGATCGACTGTGCTGTACCTATTTAACTTCCACTGGGTGGATAGAGGCAGGTGGATTGAAAATAATTGCTCACCGTCTAAACCAGCCACTTCTGGAATGGCAGTCCACTGGGATGACCCATCATAGGGTAGCATCCTTGGCTTTTTTGGCAATGCAGGGCTATTGTTATTTTTCGAAGCGCAGCATACCCTGTGGGCACAGCGGTTAGCGGACTGCACAAATTAAAACCTGGCGAACAGAGTTCGTTTCCCGGCCGCCATCGGTGGAGAGCGATATCCAAACCGATCCGGGGACTTACGCAAATCACCAACCAGTACAGACCATGAAGGTGAAGTATGGTCAAAAACAACTCCCATGACTGCTACGGCATGGGTAGGCCTTCATCCAGCTGTGGATTGACCAAGAGTTGTCTATTACGTATTACTTTGCTGTGGAATGAACAAGACGGCGCACGACACAACCACAGCGTCGAGATGCTAGGAGATTAATACTCTGAACGATTTGTCGAATTGAATGGCGATTGCAATTCAGGGGGGCAGCCACTGTGGATACCGTGGGCATCGTATCCGGGACACCCCCAATGTTTAGATGCAGCTAAGAGATGCACACACACACACGCGCAACACTGTCAAATACAACATATCGCAGTACTGTATTTTTTGAGGCCGCCTTTCTCTCTTCAGCAAGGCGACAGAAATGCTGATTTGTGCCGATAACGGAACCTTTAAATAACTACACAGGAGCACAATGGCCCAGTACAGAGTCAGTAGCAGCCACGAGTCGTGAAGATGTAATCTAATTATATAGTTCAGTAAAAACTCCCCCTTCAGGCGTGAAGGCAGTTGGTGGGGGAAGGGGGCGGAAAACTTCAGGGATCCTATCTGTAATCTACCCAATAACAACCATGAACCATTCACTGTTCAGACGCTGCCTCTCCCCCCGCCTCCCTCCCCCGTCTTAAACCCGTAACAATTCATCTCGCATCTCCTTAAAAAAAGTGAGCCGTATATGCAGGCGAGATGAAACGACCCAGACCGTGGGCAGGCTGCATTTAATAAAAAAAAATGGAACGTGGCACGCACCGTCGCAGAGGCAGCACTCAAATGGAGACCCAAAGGTCAAAAATGCCCTGCAGCTCATGAAACTGGCAATGGAACGGACACAGCTTCCTGTCAGTAAGCAGCCCCCCCAGTGGAAATTCCACATTCCCATCGCGGAGGCCGGCGTCTCGCAAATTCCACCCCAAACCGACGCTCGTTTTTTAAATCGACCCCGGGGAGGGACGATGGGTTGCGTCAAACCCCCGACCGGGAGGCGAACTTGCAGCTTTGGGAAACGCAGGCCTCCGGATGCGCACACGGGCGGCCCGACGCGAAAGCGCTGGCGAACGGGATGGAGCTGTGCGCGCTTTTTGAACCTGTATTGAAAACTCGTTTCTTTGGAACGGATTTTTTTGCGTCGAGTTCGTCATCCCCCCCCCGCTCCCTGCGCCGCCGGTTAGCACGGTTGGCTACGCATGCTGCGAAAAGAAGTTCAACATGCAGAGGTTGAATCGAGTAAATAAGGCCACCTTGAAAAAGTGCCATTCTCAGATCACTGTAGAGCCAACATGGGCAAGGTGGCTTCTGCTAAATAAATAAATATTTACAGTGCTGTAATAACCTTGTGTAAAGAGCGCGTGTAAATACAGTAGAAGATTGTGCGATGTAAGCGTACGCTCCTACCAATGTGCACACAAAAAGGAGGCTCACCACAGGACAAGGTTTTTGTGGCGCCTATAACGACACCGCCATTTGACACCCCCTTTCATCCAATTAAACGGAGGTGTGCATCTGGATGAGAGGTAGATTTCGCGGAAAATTAATGGCATCGTCAGTTCGAAGGTGCATGCAATGGCCAGGGCTTCAAATCAAGATGGAAACAAACGGTTAATTGAAATGCAATATGCAATTAATAATGTAGTACGTTTGGTATTCGTGCCATTCTTATAATGCAAGGCTGTCACAAAGGTGCTATATTTCACAGACAGTCTGTAGAAGTTGTATAGTATGGGGGGGGGGGGGGGTGACACGATGTTGCTACGTGTAATACCAACAGAGTTATATGCAGGGACATTTTTCACACTGGGCTAATTCGGACCACGACGCCGGCAAACAAATGGCTTGCTCTTCTCGAACGACGTCACGGGATCTTCAACGTCCACTTTGTGGTCGAATACACACCGCGCAGTATTAACCAGGGCGTCCAACTGGATGCAAACCGCGAGCATCCGCAACAAGCGGCGAACGCGCGAACCGCTGGGCCATGTTACCGCCCGTGCAAGTTAAAGGTACGCATGCCGTGTCGAGACACTGTGCCGTTGCATATTCCAGAGTTACGAGTTCAATTCCTGGTTTGGGGTGAACGCAGCCTGACATTTCCTGTGGTCAATAAAATAAGTAGCAGACCCCTTTGTGGGAAGCCAACAGCAGTCGTCCATTGCAGTGACTAGGCTCCAGTCATATGAATGTGGAATGTCCACAACTGGCAGAGAACTGCGGCAAGCAGCTGCGTAGCTTCCTTATCGCTTGTTTGAACAAGGAGATACATGATTAAAAGAAGACTAATATTTGGGTTTAGCGGCACGTGTTTGCAAAGTAGATTGTACAAACAACAACGTCCTTGATATACCCCACCCACAAGGGTGAGGTGGGCAGGAGCTTATATCATTACTATTATTATGCTTATTACCCAGCAACGCTTCACCGAGTCTGAACTCTTTTTCGGGAGGGTCCGGCCAGGTTTTATAGGCATCCTGACTTTCTCCCACATATGAATATAGTCAAGGAGACCGAACATCAAACGCTGCAACTGTCAGAAACGGAGCCATGAGATGCCAATAACGAATGTGGCTCTCAGTTTGAATAAGTGGCATGGCATTTCATTTTCATTGCCAAAGTTACTCAAATCACATAACTTATTTACAATACAGCGAATATATTGAGCAAATGTGTTTTTTTCAGATTTCAGCCATTTGCATTTTAAAGGACAAGTTTATAACTTTTTCAGATCATTTACATGACGTAGCAACTGAACTCGATGCCAAGTGACACCACTTTCGGCGGGAAAAGCACAGAAGTGATGCAATGCTAGTGACGTAATTTCCAGATACGTTATATTTCGGACCACTCCGAAAGATATTTTTTTTACCTTTGAGAACGAATACAACATTTGGGAACTCATCCCTACGGCATGACCATTTTAAATGTGCAGAACATGATAGCATTGCAGGTGTAACTTGCTTCCCTCTTCCCTCAAGAGTGCTCAATACTGACAAAAAAATTGGTTTTATTGCACCGAGTTCGACGCACTCTGCGTGCCGGAGAGGCTGGCTGAACTGCAACTCTCAGCATCCCATGGACACACTTGGCCAGATATAAAAGGCATCGTTCTCCAAATCAAGGCCAAAGGAGAAACTAATGAAAAATACCGTAAATCACGCACGTGGCGCGCCTCAAGAAATTAACGCCACCATTGCTTTTAAACGTGCAACGATTTAACGATTCCCTCCCCCCTATAATTTTACAATGCAATGGATCGTCACAACTGGAGGAGCTTATGACGAGGTTATTTGGCCTTCTGCGTTCCGACTCGGTTTTTAGCGACTCGTTTGATCCGTCTAGTTTGCACCGTCCGATTGCGGTCGAAAATTCAAAATTCAACGCCTCGGAGAATTTAGCGACAGGTGTTGGCAGAACATCAATATCCCAGAACAAGCACTGGATTGCCGAACCCACGAAAAGAACCTCCGGCGCTTAATCTCGCCCGCGAAGACCATCGTCAGCGATAAACTGCACCGGTAACACGTATCACGGCCTATCCGCCCTCGTCCGTCACGAGCGGAAATTCAGAACAAGCCCAGCATGTAATTGTGGAAACAGACCAAACCACGATCGACCACAAAGCGAACTACTGAACTTGCGTTCGAGGATGTGGGTCCCTATACGAGTCTACGAGTGACTGAGAGAGACCGCACAGTAGTGCACCAATGTAAACTTCAGGAGGCATGTAGCATTTCACCACACATCAAATGAAGCCATATCCAGGCGCATTATCCTAGATATAGACTTCGAGGTTGCGATTCATCCAGCCACACACACACACACGAGGGCGGCTGTCTTGTTTGTACCATCTTTCGTGCTCATTCTCTCGTCTTGTATGTGCAGAATCTCTCCCTTGTTCCGTCTAATCGCTACCATCCAATTAATATCCGTCCTGTTTGTACCGCTTTATACATTCTGATTTTTCTGTCCGATAAGTACAGTTCTGAAGAAATATAATATCCTTATTGAAGGCTCGACAAAGGAACAGCCTGGTTTCTCCCTCTGTCCCGAACATGAACGGAAGGTCAAGGGGCTCGCCAGAGTGTGAATGACTTTAGGCGCAAACCATCATGCGCACACACAACCGATGGACTGCCCAAAACAACACGCGCGTACTCTGGAGGAGCAAGCGCACTCCACTCAGCTATCCCGGGTGCTGTGGAATGCTGAACAATCTTAAAAATACATTCTACTGTGGCATGAGCGTCACACACACACACACACCTCCGATTGCCACTGCTGGCTACGTACGGTGCAAACCCAGACCAACGTACGTACGCACAACTGCCAGCCCGGCCACAGAATCAGAATCTTTATTCATACTGGAAGAATCCGATCAGCTACTAAAGCTCTTTTTCACAGGATGTCCGGGAGCAGCGCGGGTCAGAAAGTTACAACAAAACGACACGACGACAACAACAACAACAACAACAAAAAAAAACACACACACGACAAGAAGTGCATGGTATAGCAAAGCTAAAGCAAGTCAACGAAATCAAAATAAGGTGCAAACTGCACGAGGCAACCTGCTTGCAACCGCACCTGGCTTGACGGTCTTGAGCCGCAGCGGGTCCTTGCAGTTGGCGATGACGGCGAGCGTGTCGCGCCGTGTGAGGCCCGCCACGGGCGTGCCGTTCACCTCGAGCAGCACGTGGCCTCCCTGGAGGCGCGCCGCGTGGTGGTAGACGACACGCTCGTGGTCCACCGCGTCGCCCAGGTGGGGGAACTGGCCGGCGTCCGCGCCACCGCACACCGCGAAGCCCAGCGAGCCGTCGCTGCCGCGCGACGCCACCACCTCGCGCACCTTGGCGCTCCAGTGCGCGCGCTTCTTGAGCACCTTGGACATTGCTAAGGCAGCTGCTCGTCGGCCCCTGCAACGCCGACGGAGAAAGGTGAGGGCCCGGGGAGGGCCGGGGAGGCGCGGGCTCGCGGGGAGGCTCGCACCACATGGGCGGATCGCCGAACAAACGGCCGGGTAAATTTTGATTTAAAGCTTTCGCGACTGCAGTAATTCATATTCTTAGTTTTTTCGGTAAAGTCACGTTGAAGAGAAACAACAAAATAAAAACAACAAAATAACAACAAAATAACAACAAAAATAACAACAAAATAATAATATATACCGAAAAAACTAAGAATATAAACGGTCGGGTGTTTGTGAGAAAGTGAACCCACCCCCCTGCCCTGCACCCGCACGAATGCGTACGATGGCGGGGAATTATTATTTTGTGGACACCTCATTCGCAAAAAAAAAACCTAGAGGGTGCTTGGAAAAGGTAATGACAGGAAGGATGTACGCCTGTGTGTATGTTGAACTTATGTACGCCTGTGTGTATGTTGAACTTATGTACACCTGTGTGTATGTTGAACTTATGTACACCTGTGTGTATGTTGAACTTATGTACACCTGTGTGTATGTTGAACTTATTTTGCAACGTACGTAGCGAACCATGCTACTCGGAGATGCGGTGGGGGGGGGGGGAAGGACAAACTCAAACACCAAAAAGGAGTTCTGAAGAAATTAGTTCTCAATCTAGATTTTAAAGTGCATGGCTCCATTGGCTTCCTAATACACCTGGGCAGAGATCGTGGGGAAGATCACGAGAGCGACGAACAATGACATACGCGAACGGACCGGAGTACGGACAAAGATTGCAATGGAACTCGTCTCGTCACTAAAGCAAATAAAATTAAACAAAACTTGCACTTGAGCAACGCTTGCTTGGTGGCAGCGTCTAGAGGCATCCGTGAGAGGCAAGATTTTTGTTTTGCTCAGTCTCCTCCTCGTTTGGTGCGAGCGGGGATTTGACGGTGGGGGTGGGATGCGTCTCTCCCAAAACCTCTCCGTGGAAGTTGTGATTGCAGGCCATCTGCTGTGACACGTCTGGGACAGCTAAGAAAACAGGGAGAGCCTCAGATGAGGGCCCCACCCACCCACCGCCTCACCCACCTACCCTGCCATTCCAGTAACCAGCACAGAGAGAGCATGACTCGGAGACAATGACGAAACCAATAACAACTACGGCGATTACGATGACGACGATGATGATTAAGAGGATGTTGACGATTGTGTCTATGACATTTTTTTTACCTATGACAAAATCGCCCGGAATGTGCCCGATCTCGTCAGATCTTGGAAGCCGAGGTGGGCTGAGCCCAAATCGTGCTGCTTTTGAGGGCCACCAATTTGCATAAACCAGGTGTCGCAGGTGCCATGCTGTGCGCAGCAGAGGACAGCGCTGCTAAATATGGTTGTTGTACTTTACTACGCTCCCACTCTCACCACCTTCAGACTCTCACCGACCCAACCAGGTGAAGTATGACCGTGGACCACGACCTCCGTGCTTGCCGAGAGGCTCTCGTCCAGCAGCGGGCCAAACAAGAGGGCCGTGCGCATACAAAGAATTCATCCAGTTCAGATATTAGCGGTGGATGTGTGGAGACCCGCAGTGATGATTACGATGTCCGTGATGATTTATTGGTGATGAGGAAGATTACGGGGGGGGGGGGGGGGGCAGGGCATGCTCTGAAGGCTGCTCGATGTTCCCACCACTCGGTTCCAATTCTAAACCATCAGCAGTTTTGACCGCCGGCAAGTCCTGCCAGAAAAGCTTCAGGCTTCTCCAGCGCTTCCGTCCTCCTCGCCGAAGGCTTTGCAGAGGCATAAAATCGCGGTGTATTTTTAAACGTACGGTAAAATCTTGGATTGCGAGCATAATTCGTTCCGGAAACGTGTTTGTAATCCAAAGCACTCGTATATCAAAGCACTCGTATGTCAGTTGTGATCACGTGATGCTCGGCAGACAAAGCGTACACGTACTACTCGTATTGCAAGACCTCGCTCGTTTATCAAATTAATATTTTATTATTTTTTTTGCTCGTCTTGCAAAACACTCGCAGACCAAGTTACTCGCAATCCAAGGTTTTACTGTACACAGCTACAGCCCCTTTGGAAATCCAATGCTGAATGCCGGTATCGCCAAGTCATTTTTTTTACCATACTTCGCCACGCCGGTCAGTGCAGGCTGGCGAAAGGAATGGCGCATAGATGTGGGAGCATAGAAGTGCAGTGCAACTGTGGATGCTTCCGAACCATCCTTTGCTGCCTACCACAGACCACCGAGGGCTGCCTACAACGCTTGTTATGCAAGCTTGGCATCCGTACAAGCACCATCCGCAGGCTCAAAACCCGCTTAGCTTCGGAGATGTGACGAGCTCAGGCACATGGACTGCCATTTGCTCCACAAGATAAGTGTTAGTAACAACCTTTGCAAATATAGCATTTATATAATTGTACTACAATAATAAAAAAAAAGTATTTAAATAAAAATGCTTCCTCCACTAACACAAGCATTAGTGAGGGACACTCAGCTGAAACGATGGCCCAGAGGCAGGTGACAATTCCACATTACCGTGGCAAGAGCCAGTTTTATCTTTTGGATGGCTACAGTTGTGTAAAGAGTGTGGTGCCGATACAGAAATCCATTGCACAATGACACCACACAAGGTAGAGATCATTCCCATTAAAAGAAAATTAAAAATTATCTCCTGGGTCCAAGGTACGGAACCATATTGCTATTGCCGTTGTCCGTGGTTACTCAATAACGACTTGCACAGGGGACTGTAAAACTGGGAGTTTTTTTTCCCCCAGCATAACCGCGGAGAAGCATTAGCTCACCTTTACATGATTTCATTTCATCCTGGTGCTGAGCTGAGGGTGGCAGACGTTGGCGCAAAATCTTGTCCACATATCTCTTGCCACCAAACCCAAATTCATCGCCTGCATTAGAGAGAAGCACAGCATTGGTAAACAGTCCCAACGTTGGGCATTTTGTCACCATATCTTGCCATGGACAGACAAGAATCTGGAGTTCCCGACATGCTGACTATTTCATTTATAACTTCTTCATTATCACCACCGCCAACCACTCGTCCACGATCGATTCACTGCTGGAGGAAGGCTTGCCCCCAGCCGTTGTCAATCTCTCGCGCTCACGCGACGTTTACAATCCATCCAAGCCTAGCACCTCCCGTGAGCCGACTTGGTGACTCCGTCTCCACGGTGAACGTCCTCCTCTTTGGGAACGTTCTTTTCTTTGGCTGTCACTCCATCGTTAAGTCTCGCCCATTGGGGCCATCATCCCATAGAGAGGCGTGTCCTGCCCAAGTCCAATTCCTTTTCCTAACTTGTGTACACGTTCACGAACCCACGCGTTCCCCGTCATGTCCCTCGGTGCAATTTCATTCATACGTCTCTCTGCTTATGCTCGTTTGCATACTTTGCAGCTTTTGTTCCAGTTTCTGAGTCACTGTCCGCCGTTTCTTGTTCCCGTTATTGACGCCGTATAAAATCACGTGGTTTGCTATGTACGCATCACTCGAAAACCCTGGACACCCTGGCAAACGAGAAGTTCCATCTCAAGGGATTTAATAGCCTGGACAACATATTTAAAAAAAATCATTAAAACCATGTTTCGGATGTGCAAGTCGTTGAAAAAATGTAATCTGCACCGAATACAGGAACAACAACGAATACCGCATTGCTTTTGATGATTAAAAGTTCAGTTTGTATTTACAACCTTTAGTATGGACACAATGCCGCCACTCTCAATACTGACCATTTCATATCTGCCAAGTGGCAGATACCAAAAAAAAGACACGTGCCTGTTGCTTCCATTGCTTTTCATGTCACGGTCTGATACACTCTGCCAGAACTTGATAACCCACAACTTCACCGATAAAAAACCCCAACAACATTTATACGAGTCCAGTTCAAATAATCGGTAAGCTCAAACAACAAATCTGAAGTGTTGCTGCTCATCATTCTCTGTTGGTGGCCCAGAGGCCAACTGTGTAAATTCCACAACCCCATGGACAGCGACATAGTTTATCGATACAACTGATCGCCACACTTATCCTTTCCACAGTGGTTACAATTGTTTTTTTTAATAAACCATGCCGAGATGATATAGAGAGTTATTAAAAACGCAGCCATACAGTAGTTCTTAAGTTGTACATCGTTTTACGACATCACTATACGGAACTCCCCGGTGCCTTATGTAATAAACACGTGTAATGACATACAAATTCCAAGTATATACCGGACAGGCCCATCATTTAATTGTACAGAAATTTATGAGAACACGTATTGTGGTCATATGACCCTCACCATAGACACACAAAACTCATAAAATTGCCTGACAAAGCACACAATACATTACAATGGCCACATTATTCCACTCATTTCCCTTCCAAGACTCAACGCTCCAATTGCTGTATAACTGAAATAATTGATTTACCTTGCATAATATACAACTATGGTGCTGTGTACTAGGCTGCAATTCTCACGCGCGTTCACAAATGCACACACAATTTGCCATGTTACTAACCATTCCTTTCTTAGGGAGGCAGATAAATGTGTCGATTGCAGAACACTTCAACAGTAGGATTGGTACTGAAGCCACAACTTCGGTACAGTACGAGGTTGCACCGATAACCCACAATAGGGGTGCTAATACAGCTAGCTGATGTGCATGTAATATAATGTGCTATGAAGGCCAATACAGCTGATGTACATATAATACCATGATGTGCTTAAAAGCAGGGTCGTTGCCCGAAACGTCACCACAGTGTTATTGATGAATTGAGTTTTTTGTTTGTTATTTGGGCTGGTCCTTTCGAGGGATTTTTTTGAAAGCACCAATTAATTATTTGGATTTTGCATTATTTAAATGACAGCCATTTGTGTTTTAATGGACTAGCCCGTTTGAAATCTAAGAGGTAGACGAAGTATTACAAGAAATGACCGTTTTTGAAGCGCACACACACACGGCACTTCCTTCAATCAATACATTTCTAATAAGCATCGTCCACAGTAGCACAACTTGTAACACAACCTATCCACACACAACCACACAATCAAGTTGACATAACAGCATATGACTGCAATCTTAACATTTCTAGGCCATCTTAAAACACGTTGCTTAAATAAATAAAAATCCCACGTACACTTGATTATGATGACAAACAAATCACCACACTTATTACCCAATAAACCCAATGTTCATCACGATACAGTACTTGTGCGCGTGCGTGTCATTAAACGAGTATAGTGGGCAAAATGAGAAGCGTGCCTTACCTGGGGCAGCCAAAGTGGATAAGGGATCCTTCCTTCAAACTTTGTGCAGTTTGAGATCAAGGATGGAATGCCATTCCACCAATCGCCATGTGTTCTTCAGCAAGTACCGCCGCAGTCGAGGTGAAAACTAGTTTATAGTGCCATTCTGTTGGAGTCCAGCTGCCTCTATAACCCTTCCCCCACCTCCACAACCTCTCCTCCCACCTCCCCAGCACCCCCTTCCCCACAACACCACAAAAAAAACACCGCCACCCAGCACCCAACCCTCTCTTAAGACTCACCAAGCTAACGCAATGAATGACAGTGGACGGTGGCTTCTCACCACCACCACCACCGTCATCATCGTCATTCAGTGAAGCGATGATGGTGGCATCAACAAGCCACGGATAAATAAACCCTATCCGGGGACTACTGTTGCCATATCAGCACGGCAAGCGTCTTCTTATATATAAATATCCAACACAACGCCATCAAATGCACCATACAATACAGCACAGCAGGCTGGTTGCTGCTGCTGCTGCTGCTAGGTGTCAACAGTATTGTGCGAGCTGTTTTATAAAATGGTAAAAGACAGCCTCGCTGTGTAACGTGTGTAACACACACACGCACGCACGCGCACACAAAGATAACACACACACACACTCGCACGTAAGTAAGCCGGTGTAAGGAATACCTCTGTGCTGTATCACAACACTGTTACTACTGCACGCACTGTGTAGCCCATACAATGGGGATGATGATGATGCTGCTGCTGCTGCTGCCGCTGCTGCTGTCTGGACGCCACTGCATTCGCCCGGACGCACACGTGGTACTGGGCCCTTTAAACGCGCAACCCCCCACCCCACCCCCATTTACCGTAATGCTCCGCGTAAACGCGGCACCGTAAAATCAAATCGAGCCACCACGTTTTAAACTTTAAAAGCCCACCAAATAACAGAAAAAAACTGTACGTACTTTACATATTTCGTGGTTCTAAGGGGGAACGTACGTACGTGTGTGTGTGCGTGTAAGAAGCGACGTTGCGGACAGTGGTTCTTCTGCATCGTGCCACGTCAACGAAAACTGTGAAGTTTGCGAGTTTAAATTAATTCTTTTTTGGGACCTTGACTCAGGCCATTGTCTCTCCGAGGTAAAATAAGTCGCCACTTTGTGTGGAAGTCAAACAGTGATTGGTTTGGCCCCCATGTAAAGTCTCGCTCCCCCGCCATAGGAATGTGGAATTTACGCCACTGGGCCCCCAGGGGCTGTGAACACGAAACCATCACCGCCTCAATGCACAATTGAGGAATAAATTATTAAAAACAATTATGTACAGTATTAGGTGCCACTGGTGTAAATTCTAAATGATGTTCTGTAAGGATTAGAAAGCCACAGTTTGACTCGACGATACAATAGTATAGCGATAACAAGCTTGCATTGCAATACAAGATTTCACACTGCAACTTTACATGGCCTACTGCAGTGTCTCTTATTATTGTCATCGGTGTAAATGTTAACTTATGCTCACGAAGGGTTATAACGATGACATTTTAATTGACGACGAGACGTTCCTTCCGCTGTGTATCTGTCGTATTGATGTTAAACGATGTTCAAGAAAGGGTGAGAAAAGCTGAAATTGGGCACATTACAGATAGTGGAGTATTTGAAAACTGAATATTTTGAATGTTGTCTTCCACTGATATATTCATCATCATCAGTTATGATCATTCCACTGCTGGATGAAAGCTGCCACCACCTCTCACGATACTGCGATAAGTACGTGTATAGCAATCCATGTAAGCGACATGCACACGATCTGGATGATATAATCGCCACATCTCTGCTACAAGTGCCGGATTGTTTCCTTTGGCCGCCACTCTATCAATCGTCTCAACCACAACCGGACAAACGCCACGGGGCCAAAGACACCGTGATGTATGGAACAGTGGCATAATGTTTAAGAGTCCGATACGGAGTGAGGTGGTTAACAAGTTAACGTCTTATCTTCTACAGATTTGTCTCGCGCCGTTTACAGCAATAATTGTACTTGGGATGATAGTGGTTGAGATAACAAGTGTGTGTGTGGGGGGGGTTATTATTAGAAGTGGTGGTGGTGTAAGTTCGTGATGGTGGCAGGAGAACAGGTGGGGGTGGTTCATGTTGGGGTCGGGCTGGCCGTAGCTGGGAGGAGCAGGAGAGGAGGGATGGGCTCGGGAGAGGACGCGGGGCTCTTCAGGGGGAAACGAAATTGGAGGAACGAACTTGGAGGAATAGAAGCTGGGTTGAACGAAATGGGACGAACGGAAGCTGAATTGAACGGAAGCTGACCATGTAGCCCACACATGTTGGCTGTGCTTTAGTAAATGAACCTATTTCATGCGTGTACATGTTTTCCGTGTTCAGAATAACGCAACTGCAGAGCTTGGATTATTGTCAAGACTCATTTGTAAGTACGGTTATGATCAAAATCACAACGTTACTGTGATTGAAATAACGCGCCGTTAATGTTGTATAAACTGTTGCCGTGAATTACATTGGTTTCATAATTATAGTGATATTATACAATACCCTTATGAGATTAGGCCCAGACCCATAGACATATTTTGAAATTTAAAATGCGTTGCATATAATTTTACTAATGCCGTATTTAAAAATAAACTTTATTTTACCCAGGTAAGGCCCACTTGAGCTGTATAGTTCGTTTTCAAAAGCGAACCTGGGCCACAACTAGCTTACGTGGACATTTATAGAAGCCAAATAATTCCATGTACTTTTGGTTATATAAAAAATAATGCGGTTGTATTTCTCAATAATGCCCTGTTAAGGCGGGAAATGATTGTGGTTTCACAATTATACATTGACAAATATAAAGCACCATTATGTCGAAGACATGGAACCAGACACGCAAGGATTTTGGAAACATTTACTCGGTTCAAGGTGACTTGGATTCGTTTGAATGATTAACGCCAAGAACAGCACAATACATATTGCTTGAGAATGTACGGTACAGTATAAGGATTCATGCTACTCTATTTGATCGTTAGTTGATGGACTAATTAACAGTTATTGTTAAAAAGTTAATCGAATTCGCAAGGGCGGTATTCTTTGTTACGAGTTATTGCCACGAGAGCTAGCTAGATAATGTCGAATGCGTTTAAACGTTGTTGACGTCAACAACATCGTATCGTTGTACCTGTAGAGTGGGTAAATATGGGACTGTGTAAAACAAAGGGTTAAGTTGTATTTTAGCGGTAAGAATGGATATCGAATGAATGAACTACGACCACCGGTAGCGCCTTGAGGAACCATTGTTCACTCGGCGTGGAGTCGTGAAGGAACCGTGTGGACATGAAGACCTCGTGTGACCAACTCCCCTTGTCCACAGGTTTCAAGTTGGGAGGGTTGAGAATCAAACGCAACCTACCTGTAGCAAGAAGCCTCCACGTCCAGCGATGTGCGTGAAAGGTAAGGGAACCTGTGTGTTGTTACAACCCCACAACATTACACTCGTGGAAGCTTGTTCTACAGTTCCTGCCATCGTTCCTTCGGGAAGCTTCGAGAAGCCTTCTCAATCCGCTCATGTCGCTGTTAAACGAAACCCAGCGTCCTAACACCAATTCATATTCCTGTTGTGGGGTTCAAGTGTGTCCGTAGCATAACCACCGTTGGTAACACATGTGCAGCATGACTGCAGAGTTTTTTTAGCTGGCTTGGATGTCCTGGTTTTTTTTCATCCAGCACATTTAATTTCCACCTTTGTGAAATGCCATTGAAATTCTCTTTGACACTGTGTGTTGGCAGTGGCGCTCATGGCAATAGACAATCTTTGTGCTATGGAGAAGGACCATGGGGGGTCAGACATCATCCATTACAGTACTATATAGATATCAATATTTATGGATTCCCATTTGGGGGCACAGTGTTAATTTACTAACAGTTTTTATTTTTCGATTTAAAGCTTTGGTGACTGCAGGGATTCATCTTCTTGGTTCTTTCGGTAAAGTCACGTAGAAGGGAAATAATAAAAATATAACATAATAAAATAAAATTCTCACGACGTTTCGGCCACAACGCAAGCAGCCGTCCTCACCGTCCTCACCTGAGGACGGCTGCTTGCGTTGTGGTCGAAACGTCGTGAGAATTTTATTATGTTTTATTTGTATTATTTTATTACTTCCCTTCTACGTGACTTTACCGACAGAACCAAGAAGAGTTTTTTTTATTTTATTTTTCTAACTGCCCTCGCAGGCTATTACGTCTAATACGGTAAACTCAATTAGGCTGAAGGAGTGCATGGAATGTTTGGTCTTTTTGGCAGTAAAAGTTGTATATTTTACTCTCTAACTATACTCTCAGCTAAACATTTGTTTAATTTAACCTCATGTAAACACACATCCATGAATTGTTATTCGTACAAAATAACCATTTTATGCACAAATTGTATACACTGTATGACATTTCTAAAGTTCAACGTTGGGGTGGGTGGAGGGGGAATCGTGCACTACGGTTACATCATCGGGTGCAGTGCTTGCGTGATGACGTCGCAGAACCCCGTGCGTGATGACGTGGAGGCACGTACCTGAGCGGCCGCGCGTAGCAAACGCGTGGCGACGTCGTTTGAGCGTTCCCCAATCCCAACGCGCGGATCTCCGTGCGTGATGACGTCAGGGCCGAACAGGCCAAGTTGATACGTGGCTCATGTACATGATGCCACAGGTCAATGCAGTTAAATGGCATTTGTTATAAAGTATGGAACTCTTTGTCAAACCGCTGCTGGATGAAGGCATCTTTATGAAGCCGAAAATGTTTAAGCCTAACTAATATAATGCTTTGGCTACTGTATATAGAGTTTTGTTAATTACAATATTTTTTTACCAGGTAAGAATTGTACAGAATATAGCAACAAAATATTGGAGAAAAGCAGACAATAAATTTCCTGTCCACATGAGAAAAACACGTATTTATTTGCCTATTTTCCCAATAGACTGGGTAATGCATATTTTTCAGCAGCATTACTTCAGTACAAGTGTACAGACCGGTTTAAATACACTGTACCTGTTTAACACACTCTCATCAGCAGTGCCAGGCTTCCTTGAGTCAATCAATGCTGGTCAATTGCCTGAGGTTAATATGCAAACAACAAAAAAAACATCTCTTCAGGGATATGGGTCCTAGTGTGACGCAAAATGACATAATCCCAAAACATGTCACTACGGTATATAGCATTGCGCTTGACTGCTTGATGACAACCAAGAGGTTGAAACTCGTGCAAGGTTTGCTCACTTAAATGCAACTGGATAACATTAGTCTCGAAAGCCAACTGGCTGATCGACATTATTTAATTGTGGAGACAATGGAATTCTGCTTATACTGTATATCTGTTTACATATGGTTATGTGGCACTGACTCAACTAAGTTAAGCATCCCTGCAAGGTTATTAAAATTGGTACCACCTTGAGAAAAATCAACAGCGATTGTTCGCCCCTGTCATGGAAATATGGAGTTGACACCACTGGCTCTAGACTGCCAACTGGTGAAACATTCCCATTACCCCTCCGATACTAATTGGGTCATTTTTTACATAAAGATGGTTGATGACAATCACACCAATGTACAAATTGGCAAACTATGCATTGTTGTGAATAATTATTGGTACAAATCTAAGGTAGATCAACGGTTCTGTCTCCTATTGTTTTCCAGAACAGCATGGCCTGCACTTTCAAGGTCAAAGTAACGTCCATGTTTACAAGAAAATGTTCCACTTCGTTGGAAGTGAAATGGTTGCCCTGTGGAATAACTGGCCAATGCC